CAACTGTCGACGAAATGATCATGTCGGTAAAATGTTTGTCGGTGAAATAAACATGTCGGTAAAATGATTGTGTCGGGGAAATGATCATCGGTGAAACATTTGTCGGTAAAATGATCCTGTCGGTAAAATGTGTGTCGGTAAAATGATTGTCGGTAAAATGTTTGTCGGTGAAATGAACCGGATCCCAGTTAAGATACCTTTTGTATTTTTATTTTATTTTATTTTATGTTTGCAAAATTGTTGCATAAAAAAGCGATTAATTATTTAAAAAAATATTTTCTCGGAAATTTAGAATGAAAATTCAGTTACGTAGGCGTAAACAAATACATTACATTTAAAATTTTAAGAAAGTTACATATTACTAGAAAAGTAAATGTTAAACCATGAAGCTTTGTATTCGGGCGACCGATCACTAGAATCAACCAAAAAAAAAACCATGAAGCTTTGTATTATAAAAACGCTCATAAAATCTATATTATTCCGAATGTGCATAACTTATCTATGTAGCAGACTTCTTTGTACAGAGTACAAATTCTTCATTAGCACGCATTTTCACGGGTACAAACTTTATAATTTACTTTACCTTAAATTATCTGGATTTGAGGATGATTTTTATGCACGCCACACAAATGTTTAGAAAAATGACATATTGGTAAAAAATGTCCGATGATCAAACAGTTCATGTATTGGGTTTGATGATCAAAAATGTACTTTTTTCAGAAGATTTTATTATCGAATCATTCTTTTTTTTTTTTTCTTTTTGTCTTTATATTTTGCGAATAAACTTTATTGGACAACAATATCCTCCTGTATTGTTTAATAATTGCTTAATGAGAACTAACCTGATATAGGCATATGCAAGAGCGAATTAAATTAAGTAATAAATTTTTATTACTACAAAAGGATCTCTAAATCTATCGTGCATTGACATCAGTTTTTATATTAAAAAAAGACAATCATGTGGTTGATATTTTATGATCTCTTGGTTGTTCATCCTTGTCAATATTTTAATTAAAAAAACTATCGAGATATCTTCTTGGCTGAAACATGAAATCTTTAATTTTGTGGTAAAAAAAAAAAAAGATTAACTTGGTGATTAAGATTATCTTTTCTTGGAACAATATGATGGCGCAGTAGACAATTCCGTTTCAACTCAGCCCTGTTGCACTACACCAATACCAACGCGATTAGTTTCAAATTAAGGTTCAAAGACCCGTGTGGGTCTTTGTTCATAATTCAATGATAATAAACAAGTCATAATTCATTTTAAGAATCGTTAATTATTTAAATTTTACACAGCTTTGTATGTATGTTATGGTAATGTAATGATAAAATATAGGTGCGTCCTTTAATTGCTTTTGGATTACTTAAATTGGTTTGATCTCTCGAATATGAAATTAATTAAATTAATGATATTTGTTAATCAAAAATACTTTTTTTTTTTCTTCCTTATTTTACGCCTATTAACAAAATATTTTCTTAAAAGGATAAAATTTTCGTATTTCTAATTGAGGTTGTGCTATTTACATCCTGCATATCGTTTAGGATTTATCTTAATGCGTCATTCGATAATGGTTTTATAAAAAAAAAAAAGAAAAAAAAAATTCGCGGTGTTTTGAATGAAAAAAGAAAATCGTTTTCACTATTATTTTTCGGCATATTTGGCTTAGATCACTTATATTTTTCGGCATATTTGGCTTAGATCACTTAGATCATGAGTAGAAGTTTCCATTTTACACAACGAAAAAAAATATATAAAAGAAAGTGCCTAATAAGATCAGAATCCCAAAATCCAAAACTCTCCTCTTCTCTCAACTTTTTAATACATATAAAAAAAATAATCAATCCTGAACCATTTTTTCTTTATTAATAATGCAACAGTTAATAAATAATAAACTTGTTCGTTACATAGCAGCATTTATTATTGCATGTGACTTGTTTTATATCGCATCCATACAATTATTCAGTCAAAATAAAAGTTTACCAACATTAACAAGTATTCAAACAGAAATAGATTTAAAGAGTGATGAAGAAGGAATCGCTAAAAACTTGTCAAACAATATACAGACCTTTCGAACGAGACCAAAAGAAGGTCATATAATTGATTATACACGAGTGGTAGATCATTGCGATATGAGCAAATTTCTCGCCGAACAATGTTTGGAATATCTTGATAAACATGAATCAGAATATACCATTCCTAATCCGAATTTAACTTTAAATGACGCGTCAAAGTGCTTGCCTGATCAACCTCCGACCCTTTTCCATGTATTTTGGAAAGGGGATTTTAGTGACAAGATTGCAATGATGATCAAATCTTTTATGTTCACACAACCTTTACAATGTTCAAAGTTATACGTTTGGTTAGACGATAATGAGATGAGATTGGAAGACAATCCACACGCAAAGCCTTTACTTAAATTTTCACCAAAATTTATTGAATTTATGAAATGGGATACCGAAGAACAACTTGATCACGATCCGATATACCATGGATGGAAATCCATTTATCATTCCGAACGAAGGACTGTATCATTCAGTGATATGGTACGTTTCGTTGTCCTTCAACGATATGGTGGAATTTATGTGGATGCAGATGTGCTTTTATTACGTGATCTACGTCCATTCTATCAAACGGATTTCGAATTTTCCTATCAATGGAGTTTCAAAGAAGATTATAACACCGCTGTATTACGACTTCGTGCAAATAGTACAACCACTAGGATGGTAATTGAAGGTGCAATTCAAAATGGTATGAAATTTCATCCTTTCGACATCAAGAAGTATTTTGTCGAGAAATTAAACCCCACCAAGGATGATGTAAATCCTTACCTTTATATGCTTCCGGTTGCGTTATTCGATCCTTTATGGTTAAAGAGGGATAATAAACAACCAAAATCAATTTTAACACCGAATATCAATGTATGGTACGATGTATTTAGGCCCGATTTGGCCCCAAATGAATTTATAAATGTTGAACCGGTGGATGCCACGCCTGCACTACGTAAGGTTGATGGATTTTTCCCCGGCGCATTCACTTATCATTGGCATAACAATTGGAAAACTAAAATTCTTCCAACTTCTTGGATGGGAGTATTACAATCCGCTTACGATGAATTCTTGAATGGTCACCAACCTAATATCTATAATGAATATTTAGAATTTTAATTAATGCATTTTTTTATCATTATTACCTATCATCATAGAACATTTAAATGATTTTAGAATACCATTTATTTGTATTATTTTTATTTATTATTGACTTTTTAAAACATCAAACATTAACAACTGTAATTATATGTAATTAATTATACATCCTTTTTTTTTTTAAAAAAAAAAATAACAAAAACACAACGCATTCAAGTTTAAATTGCACTCGACGCAAAATAAAAACAATTATCGAATTTTACGTAATGTAATAATACTGTACGACTTTTGACTTTTTAATTGTGATACCTAATAAATAATCTGTGTAATAACATTACCTACATCATGCATGTTTAATGTACTATATGTTACAAATTTCCGAAACTGGATTTATTTAAATTATTTAATTTTTTAAAAAATTCAATATTGATTTAGCTATAATAAATTTAAGGGAAAATTTAACCTAGTCTCCGGGTTTAGGTTATTATCCTAGACCCCATGCATAAATAAATATTTTTGAAGTACTTATCACGTGATAAGTACAGTTGCGGTCTAGGATAATATCCTGAACCCGGGTACATTTTAAGGATGCCCTAAATTTAAATGATCGCGAATTTTCACGTGACTTGTTGAACCAACCCAACTACCCCAGTATCGCCATAAAAAATTTACTACCACGTGACATCTTGGCCCGCATTACAGCATTAAGTGTGTCGTCACGAAATTAAGTGTGGCTCTCTTGTGATAAATAAGGAGTGATGAATATGATTTTGCGTAGTGCCATAATACTTATAAAAAATGAAAGAAAGGAAGGGTGTGATGTAGTGTGACGAATATTTTACTATGATCACGTGGTAGTGAATTTTTTATGGCGATACTGGGGAAAATAACCAACCCGACAAACACAGTGTCACCCATAAAAAAATGGTAGCCGGATTTTATTTTCCGGGTATTTATTATTAGGGTTAATATTCGAGTTAGGGTTTGGATTTGGATTAGGATTTGGATTAGGATTAGGGTAGAATTAGGATTAGTTTAAGGGGGTTAGCAAATTTGTCACATCGCGTCACATCCCAGCCGTTCTTCAATTTACTAAGCATTATGGGGACAGAAATTATTTTGAGAGAAAAATGCTAATTGTCACCATTATATGTCACTCCTAATAAGTATATGTGATTCGGCAAATAAAATCCGGCTACCATTTTTTATGGGCTGTTAACTAACCCGGTTTCTTCATTGAAGGTTTAATTATTTCGAATCCCTCTCGCATTAATTCTGGTATAGTTCGTCATACGAGAAGCTTTTCACTAAAAGAGTGTGAAAAAAGTCAATAAAACTAAATAAGAACAAGTATTTTGGCATTCCTATAACCAAAAAGAGGTTGACATCGCCATTAGATTACAGAACTATTTTACGACATAGCCAACAAAAAGGAATAGGATTTGCGCTCGGAGGATAAGAATTTCTTGAAGGAATAGTAAGACATTTATATTTTATTTTATTATTTTATGTTGGAACAAAATTAGGAGATCAGAAATGTAGATAAAAATAGTGTGACCAAATTCCGAGATAGGGGTTAATCTCGAACTTTCCAGAACTTTTCATTATAAATCGAAAGCTTCATTTTAAATCGGATGGTTAGTTACCTAAAAATTCTTTATCATACGAGTTTATTTTTACAACTAATTAGGGAAATCATGAATGAGACCCCATTAAAAAGAAGATAATGAGCTTTCATAAATCAGGTCATGACATCCTCTATTTCAGTAATTCTTTCAATGTTTAAGAAAATTAAGAAAACACTAAAAAAAATGAAAAATATATATATATATAAGAGAAGAAATGAAGCATCCTCGACAAAAATAACAAGAATAAAATGGAGCGATTTCAACCAGAAATTAAAACCATGTCAACAATCGTAAAATGTATTGAATGTAATAAAAGAAAACCTTCAACCCTTCAATTTTGCAAGGTTTGTTATAAATCAAGGATATTATATAAACCAAGCGGAAGTAAAGTTATTGATGAATTTATAAGGTTTACACAAATCAATCATCATAAACATATTGGGAGCATGGAGTTTGTTCCCTACGACAGGTTTGAAAATATAAATTTTATCGCCTCAGGGGGATTTGGTAAAGTATATGAAGCTACCTGGATTGATGGCCCAGTCAGATTTTGGGATAAAAATCAAAAGGTCTTTAAACGTGAAGGTCCCAAACAAGTTGCTCTTAAAAATTTGGATGGCACCGAGAATATCACCTCGGAGATGCTAAATGAGGTAATTGATTATGTTTAAAATACATCGAAGAGCTTTAATTAACATGAGCGTCTTTTACAATCACAGCTAAAGATATTTTATGATTTATCGATAAGTTTAAAGAGAAGTAAGGAAATTCGTCATCACATCGTCAACTATTACGGAATCACCAAACATCCTATTACAAAGGATTTTATGATCATCATGGATTATTACAAATCAGGTGATTTGAGGCATTATATAAAAGAAAACTTTTACAAGATGGATTGGTACAAAAAGTTGAATATTTTGAAACACATAATACAAGGTTTAGACTATATTCACAGTTTAAAAATCATTCATCGAGATTTTCATAGTGGAAATATCCTTTATGATTTCGGATGGTTCTCAGTGATATGTGATCTAGGATTGAGTAAGTCCGCCATTGAATCGATCGATGATGGTGAGATCTATGGAGTTGTTCCTTACATTGCACCAGAGATACTCCAAAGCAAACGATATACGGCAGCCTCAGACATGTATAGTTTTGGCATGATTATGTGGGAATTAATGACGGGAAGGAGACCTTTTTGTGACAAAAATCATAACGCGTCCCTAATCGTTAGAATATGTGCAAATTATCGTCCCCCAATTCTCACAAATGCGCCTGAGGGTTATATTGAGCTGATGCAAAAGTGTTGGAATACCGAACCAAATGAGAGGCCAACTACCAATGAAATTTATGAAATTCTTGGTAAAATCATTTCAAATGAAGAAAAGAATCCAACCAAAATTGTAAAATCATCAAACATTGGACCTATTACAAGCGATTCAGAAGCAATCTATACAAGTAGGCCTTTAAGCGACATGTTATCCAAGAGTCAATCTGGTAATTTTTTAATACGTTCATTAGTAATTTTTTATTATTGTAATTCATAATCCTTTTTTTTTTAAAACAGATAAAAGAAGGCTCATAAATAATTTGACTGAAGATAACAAAAGTAATAAAAGGATTAAAAGCGAACAAAGTGGTAAATATTCTCATTATCTTTAATATTACTTATAAAATACAATCTAATTCTTAAACAACTTTCTTTTAGGTTATCGCTATGTATCTAAAGAATTAGAATTGGATATTAATGATAACATTTATTAATATTGAATTTATTGACTAATGATTTATTTACAAAATTATTATGTAATATTTAGAACAAATCACCAAGGAATTTTGATTTTCATAAATACCTATATTAAATGATCATGTGATATTTATGAACGATATTTTTTTTAACTTTCCACCTCGCAGACACTTTATTTGGTTGATAGTTCACAAACGATATAAATATATGTTTATAAATAATTTGTTAAAAATAAGCTTGATGATGATTTTTATTAGCAATCTTCTTATATCTACGAAATTTAATGAAATGCCCTAGTAATTAATTAGATGTAAATAAATAGTCATAAGGATTAGTTCTATTTATTCATATTATATCTTCCCATTTTTAAAACGAGAGAAAAAAAAGTATAAATTTTTCATGTGAAAGATTATTTATTTTTAGTATTTTAATGTATCAGTAACGTAAATTTTCATTTAGTTATAATTATATTAATGACAATATTATCAAATTTCATTTAATAAATATTAAAAAAAAAAATCGGTTAGTAACCGAAAAAATCAACATTGGGACCAACTAAAAAATATAGAAATAGCAACGATAGTACTATAACGTGCTCTTATGGTGCTAAAAGGTAGATTTTAAAAATTTTTGTGTTGCGAATGGTAAAAGTTTGAACTTTTGGTGAAATGCCAAATACTGGTTAGGGGTTAAAAGTGTACAAATACCAGACGAAAAATTACTAAATTTGGTCTTTGTAATTTATGAATCATTCGTCCACAGAAATGCCGTTTCACGTTACATTTTGGAAAACTTTTTTCACAGAAAACTGTTTTATAACCCAATTTTTTTTCATGCAATAAACAATAAAAAAAAAAAGTTTCCATCGAATTTTATAAGTGATCAAAGAAACCGAAGCTTTGTTTTAAGAAAATAAAAAAAGATAAATAAATAAATAAATGAAATTATAGAAACACAGTTTGGGTAAGAAGCTTAAGCTACAAAATTAATACAAAAAACAAAAAAAAGAAACCAAACTACAATTGGAAATAAATAATTTGACTAAAAAGAATAATAACGTCGAGCAACTGCGTCAAGAAGAATGGTGGCGTCAAAAAGAATGGTGGCATCAAGAAGAGTTACAAGAATAGTCTCATCGGGAAGTAGAATTTCAAGGACGTCTACGTCAAGACGAAATCCAAGAACGAGAACAAGAACAATCACAAGAACAGCCAATACAAGAACGACTACATCAAGAAGAATTACAAGAACAGCTAGAAATTCAAGAATGGTTTCATCAAGAACAATTACAACAACGACTACTTCGAGAACAATTACAAGAGCGACAACGTCAAGAAACAGAAAGGTTAGAAGGCGAGTGACGGGAAGAACTATTACATAAAGAAGAAATGTAAGAACAATGTCAAGAAGAACTATTATATCAAGAGCAATTACAAAATGCGGTTATATCGGGAGAATTACAAATGGAATTTTCATTTCCGAGTACGATTTAAAAATGTATTGCTTAAGTAATAAATATTTATCTATAATTAGCTAGTTTCATTAAGAAATTATCAACAACATTAATTTAATTATTTCATATGCTTTTCTTCGAAATTTTATTTAGCCATTAGCTTATTATATCTGTAATAACAAGGGCTGAG